TCTCGGTTGCTGAGATTCAGAACTGCTTTAATGACAGATGTTGAACAACACCGACACTGACAGAGATCACGAAAGTCATTATTTATAGTTTTAGGAGCAGCTCAGAGTCTGATTGCTTGAATTCAGGGGAACAAAATGTACTGCAGATCCTGGTCGACAGGAAAAAAAAATGAGTCATAATGGACATTACAGACAGACACAAACAGATACGTGCGCAAACAGACAGTTCAACATAACCGAGCACCGAGCACCCCAGTTCCATCTCAGCGACAGAGGGGGACACATCCTGCACACACAAGCACACAAACGGTCCATGTATGTATGGCTGTAGCCCCTGTGACTTCCTCAAATAATGGGGGGCATTGTCATTCCTTTGTGAGCACAAACACTATTAAAATGGTCGACAGCGCTGATGGGCGCGAAAGAAAAGACAGATAAAGGGCCGGGGGAGAGAAAGAAAGCCATTCTGCTAGGACTGGTGGCGTGTACAAAGGGAGAACATGGCTCCTCTTTTGACAGCCATACACTAGAGCATGTGTATGTCTTTTTATCGAGGGGGGTGGGGGAGGTGGGGTGTCCACCATACGTGCAACAGCGCCCATGTGTGCTGAATCAAACAGTAGAAGATTCATTGTAGTTCTCAAACAGTGCCATTGTGGGTTTTCCTTGTGTAGCTGTTGTTGCAGGGCCTCGTTCAATATGTGCATGTGTGTGACGGGGGGTGAGTGGGTGGGTGGAGGGGGGTGGGGGTGGGGGGTGGCGGCAGCGTCATGGACACTCCTGGAGCTGAAGCTGAAGTGCCCACCCTCCTGTAGTGTTCCCACCACTGGAGCTGTTTATCCCGTTTAAGGCCCGCCCTTCACCGAGGGACAGACAGCTCAAACGACGCTTGTCACAATCTCTTGTCGTCCTAAATGGCTGACAAACATCGGGCTTTTTGTAATGGTGGTGCATCACAGAGGTTCCTTGTTGAAGAACCTTTTTTTTTTTTTTTAACTTCTATGTAAACGTTCTAGAAAGGACCAGGGAGAACAGGAATGACTAGCTGAGCCAGGCACAAGGGATGTTAGCCAGACAGACTGACGCAAGTTGGTGGGGTAAAAGATAATTCCTCTGGAAAACATTTTCTGCTGATGAAATAAAGAGACCAAAACCCATCCCTATATGAACACTCGTGTTATCATTACTGTATCAAGTAAGGCGCAGCGGAGCGAAGGATCTAAATGTGATTCGAGTGGAAATGTTTCAGTTCTCGCAGGACAGCCAGGCTGAGGACGTGGTTGGTTTAGAGAATGAACAGGGACACCCAACGACTCGATCCTTTTTCTGGCAAACAGGAGAAGGCAGGGAGAGCTTCAAAATCACTTTTCAGACATCAAATAATTAATTGCTCTCCTCTTTTGCTCGCACCTCCTCCCCCCTAGTGTTTCTCTCTTGGTGTCTGTATGGAAGACACAGCTCCAGTCACTTAAGGAGGGTTAACACCCGTCTAAATTAAATATTAAAAGGTGTCTGTACCTGCTGCTATTGTTGCCCCTTGGAATAAGATATAACCTATTTTTGACAAGTTTTCATCCTCAGCCTTCTGCGGCGAGACGCTTGTCGAAAACCAAATCAGCCAATGGGGGGGTGGGTAGGTGGAGGGGGATATTATGGGGGCATTGATGAATAATCTAGTTCATATTCCAACGACACCCGCCGCTCAGGGGGAGAGAAAAGAAAGGGATGAAGTGAGAGAGAAAGATGGAGAGGTAGAGAAAGAGAGAGATGGACAGAGAAGGAGAAGATAAAAGCTGGGGAGAAAAGTGAAGGATGGGTAAAAGGGAAAAAAGAAGAAAAAGAGGGGGGAAAAAAGGGAAGAGAGGCAGATGATAGCCGATGTCTGCCAAGGTATCACATGACAGTGCTCCTGTTTAAATAATAAAACAGGACGGGGGCTCTAAACAAATCGTTATCTCTCCACCTCCATGCATCCTGCCTTCCCTCGGCCCCTCCCTCTCTCTCCCCGCTTTTAAAAACTTGTTTTAATGCCATTTCTTAATGAACATAATAGCTCAGCGCTAATAATGAAAAGAAAATAAAAACATCTAAAAACGCGGAGGGGCCCCCGAGTTGTCGCCGGCGCTCAATTATTTCCTTGTCAAGTGGGTCTGTTTTTAATGAGGCCCTGTGGGACTGACGTCTGTCAGTCAGCCCTGACTTTTTGACACCATTACAACTTCAAATAGAAGCCGCCGCCACGCTGCTTTCCACCGCTCACTCGCTACCTACCGCTCCGCTCATCTGACAGGCTGGGAGGGAGGGAGGGAGGCAGGCAGGGAAGGAGGGAGGGAAGGAGGGGAGGACATGGAGGAGGAGAAAGGTGGCAGGAGAGGTAGAGAGAAGGGGGAGGAGAGAGAGGGATGGGGAGGGAGAGAAAGACAGAGAGACAGAAGGAGAGAGGACGAGAAGAGAACACGTCGTCACGTAGGTAGACTGCACGTGCGCGCGCACACATACACACACATTGTGCACTGGGTGAAAAAACAATCACTGAGGGTCATTACCAGATGAGGTTTGTCAAACTGCCAGGGATTTCCCCCCCCCCCCCCCAACCCTTACCCCCCACCTCCATGATTCCTTGTTCACTTCCTTCTCCCTCCTTTTTTCTTCCTTCCTTTTTTCATTATTCCTTGACTTTAATGATAACTCTTGGTGGGTCGCCCCGCATGGGACGGTCAGAGGCACACTATTTTGTTGGCCATTAATTTGAGGCTTTGAAGCAGACTGTGGCGCTGCGGCTGGTGAGGGCCTGTGAAATGGTGGTCGGTAGGTAGGCGGTATAGTGTGGTGTTGTGCTGTGTGTCGTGTGTAATGTGTGTGTGTGTGTCGGTGTGTGTGTGTGTCGTTGCGCGTGGAGGGGGGTTGGGGTGGGGGGTGCGGTGGCGTGGCGACGGGGGGCTTGGGGAAGGCGCGCGCGATAGGTAGGGGGGCGAGGGGTGGGCGGGGGGGTGGGGGGTCGGGCGGGGTGGGGCGGGTGGGGGAGGGGCCAGGGGGGGGGGGTGAGCGCGGGGCTGGTGCCGGTGTGGTGTCGCTGTTCTCGCCTTCTCCTGGGCTATGAACATCTATCTTCGAAATGCGGAAATAACTAAAGATGGAATGAAAAAAAATAAAAAAAAAACCAAAAGAACGTGATGTGGCCCTAAAACAGAATAGCAAATGTCCTCGCCGGGAACCGCCACACCGACCACAGGAGAAACATGCACACTCCAATACTCCACTCCTGTGTGTGTGTGTATGTGTGTGTTTGTGTGTGTGTGTCTGTTTGTGTGTTTGTAGTGTGCTTCATGTGTCTTAACAAATTCACCAACTATGCTCTTTAAATTTAGATTTTCCAAGACCCCCTGAAGAATGGCTTTCCCCTGAAGAATTAAACAGCAGTAAACTCATGCACACGTTTTTCAAACACCTGCAAATGTATCACATCATCACTCAGCGCAGACACACACAGAAACAAGGACTGCATCACAGTCTTCAGAACTTGACAAGGAAAATATAGAACAAAAAGTACCAGTTCTAAAACAAGTTAGATCCATTTATAAGAGCAGGAAAAAAAAACAAAACCTTTAAGACACAAAACTAGAAATCCACACATTTCAGCTGGTCCTGGTGCGCAGTCTGCTTTTGTCTAATCACTCAACACCCAAAATTAAGAAGAAAAAAAAAACATAGTTAATGTTAATTCTCAATACCTACAAACTTCATAAAATATACAGTTCTAGCACAGAAACTTTAATTGAAAACTCATTTATGCATTTATAAATAAATAGTAACAGAATCACTTGTATTGAGAGCAAAACACTATACATGATGTAGATTTAAATGTTAGTACATACAGTATGATGCCTATAATTTTACACAATGACAGTTATGTTAATAAGTCCATGGGGCTGAGCTGAGGAGATCGGTGTTTGGAAGGTGCAGGGCAATTGTACCAAATGGGGATATTAAAGTTTGTTTTTCTCTAATGTATGTGTCAAGATTTGGGGTCAGTTCAGAGTAAATTTGATTTATTTTGACTGGTCTCCAAACTCTCCTGAAATGTTCTAACATCTGTTCTTCAATGTTATAACTCAAAATAAACAGCTTCCTCTTAATAAAAATGAACTTTCACCTTGATTGACTGAACTGACCTCAACCTTTTCATGTGCATCCTCTTCTCAAGGCTTCGCCACTCGTCTATTTTGGGCTGTGCTGAGCTTTTTAAAGAAGGAGTGTGAACAGCAATATCTTATCTGAAGGCACCGTCCTCTGTGCTGCGTGGGGGCTACATGAAGAACAGCTGAATCATTTAGTTACAGAAGCTCTCGCACACACGACAGTATGTGTGTCTACTGTTGGTGTTAATAAAAAAACACAGCGCGGGTCCCCCAATCCATGACCGTCACTCATGCACGTGCATACATGTGCACAACACTCTCATATCTCTCTTTCCCTCTGTCTGTCATGCGTGCACACATCCACCCTGAATAACACTTGACCCACCTCCATCACAGAAAAATAATATACATATCTGAATCTGCTTCGAGTTACAAAAAAATCCCCAGGCCTTGTTCGCCTGGGGACAGGATGAGCTGCAAAACCAGACTGGGGATGACACCATGAAAAATATTAGCTATCATAAAAACATCTCCCCCCATTTTTGCCCCTGGAGATGTAAGAGAGAGCCTGACAGAGAGAGGACAAAGCTGAAGAGGAGAAAAGAAAAAGAAGAAAGAAAGAGAAAGGGAAGAAGCAAAGTGGAGAAAAAAAAAGGTAAGAGAGGGAAAGAAAGAGAGAAGGAGACAGCAAACAGGAAAGGAGAAAGAGATGGAAAAAAGCTCCCTGTCAGGCTTTGGAAACAGTGATTCATGGGGACCATTTGTCCTAATTACAGCAGAACAACGCTTTTGTCGCTATTAATCACGTGTGTGTGTGTTTGTATTTGTGTCGGGGGTTGGGGTGGGGGGGATGGAGGGTGTATGATGTGTTTGTAGAGGGGAGATCAGTGGCCTCGCAGATTGAAATAGATGGCCAGGATGATGGTGAGAAGAATGATGGCTCCAAGGATGAAGACCAGGATTCGATTCTGGATGATCCTGCAGAGAGAGAGAGAGAGAGAGAGAGAGAGAGAGAGAGAGAGAGAGAGAGAGAGACACATCAGGCAGGGTTCACAGAAGTCATATTGTGTCTACAGAGAAAAGTAAAACACGTAAAACAGTCACATGTTTATGTGCAAACTAAATGAACAGCCATCAACTGGAGGTTTATCATGTTTAATAGCTACCATGAGGTCTGAATACATGGTATTTACTAGTACACAATCATTGGCATGGGAGAATAAAACACAAACGCACGCACGCACGCACGCACGCACGCACGCACGCACGCACGCACGCACACACACAATATTTCCAAAACTGCAAAGCATTTGTGCCGTGCTCCTGTCTAAAATGCCGCACAAATTATTTCAGACTTGCCTAAACAATCGTAGCCTCTGTAAAAATTTCATACCAACGTGCGCACACATGTGAACATACAAAACACAGCAAAACACTTATAAACAAGCATGACACACAAACATACACGCACACTGCAGACAGGCTCTAAAACTTTATTTGCACAATAAAGTGGAAAAAGTGGCTCAGTAGTTTCCTGGAGGTAATAAAATCGCTGAATTACTGATGGAATTTGCCATAAAACGACTCACTCTTTTGCACATTTAAATTTTCCCACTGTGACCTAAGTAAACTTGACAAGAGGGGGCTTTGAACCAAAAAAACACAAAGCTGGGAAAGGAGGGCCGGAGAGAGGGAACGGGTGCTCGTGTGCCGGAGAGTTTTCAGACCATCAGGAGTGTGAGCAACTCATCTCTCATCTCGTGTGCGTGTCCCCAAAAATTCTCTAGAGTTTGTGTTCTCACACGCACACAGACAAACACACGAACACACACACACACACACACACACACACACACACACACACACACACACACACACAAACCACACCGAACCCTCCGCTGCTCCTGACAAATGAGAGAATTATCACATTTGCTGACATGCGGAGGGGTGGAGGAGAGGCCGGGGGGGGCACTGTCCACCTCTCTAAGCAGGAGATGAATAGCCCATGCTGTGGCCATTTATCACCGGGGAGGGGGGCTGGCTGGTTGCTCAGTCACCCTGCTACCCTCCAAAGCCCAAGTCTGAGCCTGACGCACCGGTCGAGCTCACAACCTCGTCCAGTCCACCAGCAGCAGCACCTGCAGTAGCCTCAGCTAGCCACTTAGCTTAGCCCACGGCTATGGAAGAAAGAACGACAAAAGTGTAACCACGCAGTTTCGTTACGTGTCACAGGAGCGCTTTCATCCTTACGTCTTTGTCTCCGCTTTTTCGTCTACTTTGCACAAAGCACCTTCCAGGCACATACAAACCAACCACATATCCATGCCCACTGCTTTCAGCGGACACTGATATACACTAAAAACTTTAACCAATCACTTTTAACACACCATGAACTTCTTCCCAGGAACAAGAGGCTTCGTCCTTTCACTGACATACTGTACTGCTTCTCACTGGATAACACCAGAGAGCTCATTACAACTACTGTTTGTAAGTAGCACTGCTTTATAAGTAGACAGTTTACCCTTGAATAAATGCATACATTATCATGGCAGTGTCATACTGTGTACAGCAAACCATGTCTTATACAACACACGCAAGCCATGCTGAGGTTTCACCTGTGATGAAAATAAAAACACCATGCTGCATATGTCATATGCCCACATGTCTATGTTGTGGTGAGTGTTGAAGCAGTATTAAGGATGCTCTGATAGGAAAGCCTGATCTTGGTGTTTGGATGAGGTTGAAATTATTGGCTGAAGTCAGCTGGGGAGGAGATCCCAGTGAAACGCTCATCAGAGCATGCTTAGCAAGGCCACATCTCCCCCTATTAATTGACATTCATTATTTAGAATGATTATTTATCCCAGCCCAATACCCAGAGGAGATGCTTGTGTATGTGTGTCTGAGTGTGTTGGGAGAATCCAGAGCGCTTTGTGTTGTTTGTTAATTTTTCAGCTGGGGAAAAAGAGAGGGAGGGTGACTCGAGGCCTGGGGGTGGAAAAATGAACGGGAAGTTAGTTTAGCCTCGTGGATGAGGAGCCGGGGTTCTAACAGAGGGGGGGGGGGGATTCAATTCTGTAAAAATTGCATTCATTAAAAGGAGTCTGATTCAGTAGCAAACAACACTGAATAACTTCAAACACTTACATGTTCAAAGCAGTAAGGAATATGACAGTGCTGCGATTTAAGAACTTTTACTCAGGGGACACATATTTGAAAAAATACTTATTTTGACCTAAACCGGTTCTCTATACACCAACCCAACAAAACATGCCTTGAAGTTTAATGTAAAGCAGCTAATCTTATTTGTGGCAATGTGAACATTTAAACAGAAGGTTGATACAAATTTAGCACTGGCCAGTCAAACGCGTCAAGCTGCTGAAGCAACCAATTTCTCCAAAATAAATTAAGGTTAAATTCAATCTTGCCACAACTCAAACTTTAAGTATGGCTTTCAGTTCACCAGCTGTGTGACTTAATTCACTGTGAGAAACTGAGTGTCAAGACCGAACCAATAACGTGAACCTCGCACATCTCTTTTCTAATGCTCGCAATAATTCAAGTCGTACCACAAGATCTTGTGAAGTTTATGAGCCAAGGGCCACCTTTGACCAGAGGACTTGGCTCGCAGACGCAGACACACACACGGATATAGCAAGACAGGCTGGGAGGAGTTAGTGGAGTTAGCAGTCATAATTCACTAAAATCCATTTTTAAAAAGCGTCTGTGACTGTAAAGAGTATTTTCCTCACTCTCCTTTAACAACAACAGAGCTGAGACGGCTATTAAGTCACTAGTTATGTTACGTTACAGGCTGGATGGGTAATGATTCATTCTCTATTAGAATCACAATTGCGCAACGTTTCACAAACAAATACTCGGTGTACAACAGAAAAAAAAGCTGACAAGTCATACAGCTATTTTGCTATTTTTCCATTTGGTCACTCATAACAACTGGTGGCTATAAAAAGAAAAAAGAAAAAAAAATCCCAGAGGACAGATCATTTTCATAATCCCCTGAACGCCTCATCTACATAATGTCACTTGTAGATTTAATCTACAGATTTGTGTTCTGTATCGAGCAAAGCACTTTACTATAAGCGCTCTAGTCAAATGAGCTTCTACAGTAAGTCATTTCAGTTTCCATTCAAATTCCTCACAGAACAGGGGCAGCTAAAATAAAACTTACCCCACAAATATAGAACTCCTGCCCCCCCCCCCCGCACTCCCCCCCCCAAAAAAAAAAAATCCCCAAAATTGGGAGGTAGGAGAGTGAAGAACATGCTTTTCTTCTGCCGTATGGTTGATCCCGTCCTGACACGTGGCCAGACAGAACAGAACTTATCAAACCGGATCCATCCTCCAGCTTTGACACTTGACATAGAGGTGGGGGGTGAGAAGGGTGTGTGTGTGTGTGTGTGTGTGTGTGTGTGTGTGTGTGTGTGTGTGGAGAGTTCGGGGATGTGTGAGCGATGCACACAGTGCATGTACAAGGGTGCAGATGTACATGCTGACCCACATATACACACTCCTACACACACTGAGTTTGAGAAGGCTTACCTTTACCCCGCTCCCTACTATGATACCATTATCCCCAAGTATTGTCTCTGTCAGTGCACCCCCCCCCCTCCCCCCACCACACCCACCACCACTACAAAAAAAAACTCACATGAAGACAGACCAACAGTAACTGTAACTGAAACGCCAGCCAATAAGAGCATATAATACTGGCTGTTCTATTGGCTCCTGATGTTCCTTCATCGCAGGCATAGCCAGTCAGCTAACACCTTACTAGACGGAAATACACAGATATACAGCACCAATGTTAGAGAGAGAGAGAGAGAGTGTGTGAGAGAGAGAGAACATTGTCGAAATGATGAGTGCAAAGGAGAGCAAAAAATAAAGCAAGCAGGAAGGACGGAAATGGACAATAAAGGAGCTGAGTAAAAACAAGAGAGAAAGAGTGGAGAGACAGAAATAGAGAGGTGGAGAGAAACAGAGGGAGAGTGAGGAACGAAAGACAGAGAGAGAAAGAGAGAGAGGGAGAGAGGAAGGGAAAGTGAGGAAGGGAGAGAGAGAAGTCCGTTTACCCGGGGAGGCAGAGCTGGAGGGGAGGCTCCTTGGAGACAGATGAAAATAATGAGGACTTTTCTGTCAGGAAAGATTTACAAAATCGTACCAGTGTTATTAAAATTTAAAATCTCAAGTTTTTTTTTTTCTTTCTCTCCCTTCCCACCCTCTTCCTCCCTCCCTCTCTTCCTTTCCCTGTTTTTTCCCTCCTCTTCCAGCAGCACAGCCTTATTACCAGCTCTAATGAGCACCGGGATACACCTCAGCAGTGTGTGTGTGTGTGTGTGTGTGTTGGGGTCCAGGTCCCTAGTGCCAGTTCCATCAGCGCCCCAGATTCCCTGGTCCCTTCAATGACACACACACACACACACACACACACACACACACACACACACACACACACACACACACACACACACACACACACACACACACACACACACACACGTGCCCACAGAACACAAGAGGATGGGCACACAGACACACACTAACATACATGTACACAAACACACACACAGCTTTTGATGGCTCTCAGAGGTGGCTGGACATACACACACAGACATATACACACCTCTCAGACAGACAGATAACACCCCCTACCCCAAAACAAAAACAGTCTCAGTCAGACAAACATAAGCAGATAGGCCCAACCCACCTAAAGACACACACACACAGACAAACACACAGACACACACACACACAAACACACGCACACGCGCACACACGTTCTCAACTAAGAACAAACTTAGCAGCAGAGTTGCATCTCTCAGGCCCTCCCCTATTCCTCCTCTTTCCACTAGTAGACCAATAAAATAAAAATCAATGGCTGTCTGAGCCATTCTGGCTCTCCTCCCTCCAAACCCTGGGAATATACAGCATGGGAGAGAAGGAGGGGAGGGGGGAGAGGG